CTCACCAATTCTGGCTTCCACTGTCTCAGATATATTCCTTTGTCCTTTCAATGTATTGTCCATTTCTGAAATCTTAATATTAATCTTCTTGATTTCTAATTGCAGGTTTCATATTGTTTCAAAATTTGCATTTATTTGTCTATTTGCTCTTATAGTGTTTTCCTGAAACATTCTAAAGTGTTTTCTGTTTTCTCCTTGCTTTTCTTGATCTTTCTGTCAATCTTTTGTAAACACCTGGCGTAGTGGTTAAGAATCGGGCTGTGGACCACAAGGTTAGCGGTTCGAAACTACCAGCTGTTCCATGGGAGAAAGACGAGGCTTTCTGCTCCTGTAAAGATTTACAGCCTCAGAAACCCTGTACAGGATGGCTATGAGTCAGAACCGACTCCGTGGCACATAACCAACCAACCAAAATATCATTATTTTGGATTCTTCTTCAGTTATTTCCATTACTTTTTCTCCATCAGATACATTTTCTGGCTCAGCATTTTGGTAATTTGTTTGAGCCATCTTCTCTTGTTTCTTCATGTGAGTTAAAATTGTCTCTTGGCTCTGGAAACTTGCAGTGTTGTCTTATTTGTATTTAATTGATAATTTTTTGTTTGTTGATGTGTTCTTAAGTTCTGATGGGTGTAATTAGAAAATGGAAGTTTGTGCACTATTCATTCACCATTCTTGCACCAAAGTTTAGGATGTATTTGACTGGTGTTGGCTGCTGCTTCTCTTTGGTCAGGTGGTATATGACCTGGCATTGTCTCTTGCCCAATGTGTGGAGCTGCAGAGTTGTGACTGAACTGTATGGGAGTAGTTGCTGTCTCTTGTTAGGTGGGAAAGAGATGAACCCCCATCTCTTTGCACACACACAAGAAAACAAAACAGAATAAGCAAACAAGCAAGAAACAATGAAAAGAGAAAATAAAGATGAATAGATAAATAAAAATTGGCAGCAACCAGAAAAAATAACATAATAACTAAACAGAGAAAGGATGGACAGGAAAATGGAGCTATAGAAGAGAAAAATAAGCAAGAAAATAAAAGGAAGAAATGGAAAAGCACTTAGAAAAACCAGGTATATGGAAGATGAAAAAAGAGAGTAGAGAGTATTAACAAAAGATCAAAAGGGGGAGGAGAATCAGAAGAAAAGAAGGAAAAACAAAAACAGAAAGAGAAAAAATAAAATCCAAGAGAATGGAAAAAGTAGAAGAATGAGAAAGAATAAAAAACAAAAACAATGAGACAACAAATGGAAAAAACCTGAAACACAAAAAAACAAAACCCCAGTGTAACTATTGGATACAGAGAGGAAGACTCTCTGGGAGTGGCTCCTGCCATTCAAGGAGCTCACGAGGTGAGTGTGGAAGGGATGTGACAGTGGCCCTACATGGAGTTCCTATAGGCCTAAATATTTTCTATGTTCAGGGCATTTAATCTGGAAGCAATTCATCTTTGCCCAAGGCACTCAATCTAGAAGTAGTTTGTGCAGGCCTCTTATGGAGCTGGTTTTAGTGTCTGTTGGGACTATAATGCAACTGGGGGCAGGGTGACTGATAATGAGGGTTTATACTAGACTAATGCTGGTCTGGTGGCTCTACAGGCTCTGTAGGTCTGGAACTGAGCCTGCCTGAATCCAGGCACCAAAATGGTACAGCTGGCTCTCACTTCACATTGGTGTAGGTCACTACAACACATCTCCAAACTCCCAGAGAGCAGTGTCTACACTGGGAGTAGATGAGGAAAAAGAAGAAATCACACCTTTTCTGTCATCTGTGTGAATCTGCTCTGCTAGGCCACTTTCTGTCACCAAAGCCTCTCAAAAAAGTTCAAGATTGCTGTACCATGAATGGCCGATTTTTCACCAATCAGTCTCCCTCTTTCATCCCTGCTCAGCTTTATAGCCTAACAAGCACTCAATCAACTTCTTTAACCTTGCTTCTGAATTTCAGTGTTCCAGGATTTTCATTTGTCTTTTTCAGTTGGTCTCTCATATCATTGTTGTAGAGAGTCCGTGTAGTATATCTGCTTAATCTGCCATCTTGCCAGAAGTCCAAGAAAATAAGAATCCAAGAGCTATTATTCTGAACATGTGTCCTGTTCATTAACGTGTGCAAAGTTGGAAGAACAAAGAAAAATTCATCAATCTCACAGCAACTACTTTTGAAAAATAAACAAATACTTTAATTCCGCTGGAGTTTTCAGATAGTACCAAGATGCACTAGAAACTTCAAATTTTGACCAAGTTTACATTCTTATTTGCAACAATTTTCTGAGAGCTACCTTCACATCCTTATTCCTTAATGTGTAAATGATAGGGTTGAGGGCAGGGGTGAGCACTGTATATAGGAGGGAAAGAAACTTCAATAAATCTGCATATTGAGGTCCTGATGGGAAACCATAAACAAGGCCTAGAGTACCATAATATAGAGTGACCACTGTCAGGTGAGAGGAACAGGTAGAAAAGGCTCGTTGTTTACCTATAGTAGAAGGAATCCTCAGAATGGTAGAAATTATATGAATATAACTAGCCAAAGTCAGCAAGAAAGGGCCAAAGGCAAATAAAGAGGTACATATAAAAGATGTCATCTCAGCTGCTTGTGTATCAGTGCAGGCCAGATTCATGATGGGCTTCAAATCACAGAAGAAATGGTCAATCTCACTGGCAGCACAGAATGTTAACTGAAAAATGAGAACCATGAGAAGAACAGGTGCCATAAATCCAGTCATCCAAGAGGCACCAGCTAGCTGTAAGCAACCCCAGTGGTTCATGATGCTGGAGTAATGTAATGGGCTACAAATTGCTATGTAGCGATCATAAGACATTACAGCCAGGAAGAAACATTCTGTAGCCACCAGGGCAGCAAAAAAATAAAACTGACAAGCGCAGGCTGAAAAGGAAATAGGCTCATGAGCTGAAAGCAGCGTCTTTAGCATCGTGGGCTCAATGGTTGTGGTGTAGCCAATTTCTAAGAAGGAGAAGTGACCAAGAAAGAAATACATGGGCTTGTGAAGGGAGTGATCAGCTAACACCACAGTTAGGATCACAATGTTGCCCACAAGAGTCATCACATAGATGGTCAAAAATATCCCAAAAAGAAAAAACTGGAGTCCATGGAGATCCCCAAAACCCAAAAGGATAAATTCTGAAATTTCAGTCATATTTTCTTCTTCAGTGTTAGTCATAATCTGGATCTAAAAAAATTAGAATAAGAAGAGTACCATTGACCAAATGCCATTTTTAGAAAAAAAGAAAAATAAAATCAAACTACTTCGAGGCAACCTTGTTTACATAATTGACTTCTTTCCAGAAATTCAAGATTCTTACTATTAATAAATTTGACCACGATCCTCCAGGAGAGTTAGTCATGACTTCAATTACCCCATTATAATATAATTTATACACACACACAAAGACAAAACCCCACTGCCATGAGTTTATTTTCAACTCATAGCAATCCAACAGGACAGTGTAGAACTGCCCTATATGGTTTCCAAGACAGTATATATTTACAGAAGCAGACTGTCACATTTTTCTCCTATAGAGTGACTGGAGTGGGTTTGAATCACTGACCTTATGATTGGCAACTGAGTGCTTTAATGACTGTGCCACCAGAGTTCCTCTGTAAAATGAATAAAATCTTGAAACTGTGATTGGGATAGAGCTGGTGCTGTGATAATTAACAAGGAAAACTCTGAATCCCCTATATGTAAATTATATAAGGTCTCTGATCAGCTCTGTTTCCTGCCTTAAAAATTCCATAACAAATAAATTATGTCTTGAATTTCACCATATGTATTGCATTTAGCAACATCATATTGAAGGATATCTAATCCTTAAAATTTATTTTATAACAAGCTGTTGAAACTTTAATAGAGAAGACATAGTGGAGTGAGGGTGACGTAGTAATAAGGAGGAGAAGTTGTGATACAGTGGAAAGAGAACGTACCTTAATTCAAATCCAAGGTTTGCCATTTTCTGGCTGTGTGACCTTGTGTAAGTCTTATCAATTCTCTGACAGTTCTCCCACTTATAGAATGCATATTGATTCTGTGCAACATCTTTGAATATTTCCTGGTCCACATTAAAAACACTTAATATATTAATTTAGCCATTCAACAAATATTAAGTGAGTGCCCACTATGTGTCAAAGTATTTGATAGGCACTTAGAATAAAGCAGTGAAAACGTGGTGAATATATATATATATATATATATATATATATATATATATAAACAAGTCAAGAATACTCTGTATATATCATGGTGTTGACATTTTAGAGGGAGAGGAAGACCAAAACAAGAAAAAAGACACATAACATTTGAGTTGTGATAAGCAGTATGAATACAATAAAAATAACCAAAAAATAGTACGCATATTCTGTTGTATGTGTACATGTAGGAACCCTGGTGTGACACTGTTGAATAAGCACTGGACTTCTAACCACAAGTTCAGCAGTTCAAACTTAGTTCAAAGCTGCTCCTCTGAAACTCTACACAGGGTGACTATGAGTCAAAACTGACTCAACACACTTAACAACACCAATGTGTATATGTGTGTGTATGTCAGTGTATGCAAGTATGTGTGTATTATTTTGTTGGAGTGATCAAGAAGTCTAACCTGAAAAATGAGAAGATTATAAACATACAGGAGTTAGTTGTAGTTTTAGGGTGGAATATTGCAGGCAAAATGACCAGGTCTTGAGGAAGGAAAGATTTAGAGTGTTAGAAACCTGAAAGAAGTATATTGGATAGAGAGAGCATGAGTAGGAAAATTAGAAAGGAATTGCATATTAAGGCCCTTGTAGGCCATGCTAGCAGCAACATGATAAAGTTTGCAGTTTAAAATTACTTTTGAGGCTCTGTAATAAATGAATTAAAGAGAGAATCTCATAGACTGAATGAGATAATGTCATTGCAGCAGACCAGGTGAGGGATGCCAGTAAACCTGTGGTTGTCGAAAAGATGGAGAGAAAGGGACAGATTCAAAATACATTTTGGAGTTAGGGATGAGAGGACTCATTAACATATTAGATGTAAAGAGTGAGAACAATAAAAAATGACTCCTGGTTTTTGGTTTGAGTAATTTATTGAGATGGCAAAGATTGCTGGTTTTGTTGTGTGTCATTGAGTTGATTCAGACTCATAGTGGTCCTCTATGGGGTTTCCAAGGAGTGATTGGTGGATTTGAATTGTCAACCTTGCAGTTAGCAGTCCAGTACTTATCCTACAGAGCCACACAAGGATGCTGTAGGATAAGGGAAAGTTTAGAAGAAACAAAAACTCCATTTAGAGATATTAAGTTTGAGATGCCTGTGAAATTCTGAGTGGAAAAGTCAAGCAGACATCTGGATTTAAATCTTCAGCTCAGAGGACAGGGCTGGACTGGGATATAAATTTAGGAATCACCAGAATATGGATAATATTCAAAACCATGAGAACAGATAAAATATCCTATCTAGAGATCATGGAAATAGGAAAAAATGTCCTATATGAAGCTGTAAGACCCTCTTACACTAAGGTCCGATGGAGCAGGAGAAGCCAGAACAGGAGATTGAAAAGGAGGAGTCAGCAAGGGAGGAAGAAACTCAAAAGAAAATACAATAACTAAAACCATGCTTCAAGAGACTTTGCTGAGGGAAGATCAAAGATGGAGAACTAAGAAGATCCTATCCAAACCCTTTACAACAAAGACCTGAGAAACCAAGTGAAATGGATACAGATACATCCTGGAGCCTAGAGTTTCAAATGAAATGATAAACTGAACAAAAACAGTTAACAAACAGGCATACAGAGTGGTGAAGTGCCAACTGGCACAGCATGGCTATTTTGAATTGTTGCAAATAGCATTCTAATTGAAACAAGAACAAGGTAACAGGCTTTGCTTGCCCAGCAATTCAACAGCACTCCCACAGACAAAGTCAGCAGTTCAAATCCACCAGCTGCTCCTTGGAAATTCTATACAAGGTCACTATGAGCCAAGACTGAGTCAATGGTACTTAACAACAACTTAACAAAAATACCAGAACTATGCTGCTTTTCTCCTTTCTTCCCCCAAATTTTGTTTTATCATTTTTCTTTCCCTTCCACTCTCTCTCTTTTTTATACCATGGATTTGGTGCTTTCTTACTCCTATCCCTCTATAAAAAGTGGTATGTGCTCCAAAGGAGCTCCATATTCTCACTGCAGCTGTGTTTGGTGGCTGACAAGATCCATCACAAAAGAAGAAATTGAACAGATCAGAAAAGATACTCCCAATGAAAAAAGTCCTGACTTAAATGGCTTCACTGGCCAGGTCTACCAATCATCTAAAGAAGAACCAAGGTGGCACCAATTCTATGCAAACTATTCTAGAACATAAAAAGGATGCATTATTCCCAAACTCATACATTCTATGAAGTGAGCATAATCCTGATTTGAAAACCAGGCAAAGACACCACTAATCAAGAAAATTATAGACCTATTAGCCCTCATGAACATAGACACAAAAATTTCCAACAAAATCCCAGCCAATAAAACCTATCAACAAATCTAAAGGGAGAAGGGCTGTGTGCTGACAACTGGGGGCCAGGCTTGCAGGATATACCCTTTGGTTGGTTCATGATGCATGGAGGGAATTGTAACCATGACAATGAATGATATACGATAGGATGAATGTAAAGTTAATGTTCTTCCATGTAAACTGTCACATTAAAAAAAAA